TTTTTTTTTTTCAGCTGCTACTGCTAAGTTGACTTGCCACAGACGCGCGTTCCAGCCAGAGGGAAAAAATTGAAAACCATTAGGATTAATGTTTAGTTGAAAGATTTGCGCGTTAAGCCATTTTTACATGGCTGCAATGCCTCTGCCTCTGCCGCTGCCGCTGCCGCTGCGGCTGCGGCGACGTCCTGATGGCTGACTCCTACTCTGACTCTGACTCCGGCTCTGACTCTGAGACTCTGAGACTGGCAATTGCTAATGTAGTTTATGTGTAACAGGCGGAGGCTTCTTAACGTTAACTGACGGCAAACCGTTATGGCTTAAGGGCGAGCGACGCACAAACGGCATGTAAAATGTGACATTTTAATGTATGCAAATGAGACGTTGAATTAAGCTCCACGAACACCCACGAGCTCCCACTCACACACACACACACACGCACACATCAGTTGGTTTCATATCCGTTTCCGTTTGCCTTTGCGCCATGTGATATGATTTAAAAATAATGAAAGCCAACGCTCTTCAATGGCTTTAATGTTGTGCCCCATCTCGCTCGCTCTCTCCTTAGCTATTGCCGTCTAGCTCGCTCTCTCTAGCAACGTGTCTACCCTCTCTTTTTCTCTCTCTCTCTCTTTTTCTGTGCGTGTGTTTGTTCGGCGGAAATGTCAACTTAACTTTTTTGCGCTTTGACAGTGACACAACAACAGGAGCAAAGCTCGAATATATTAGAGAGTGGGAGCAGGAGCAGCAGCAGGAGCAGCAGCAGGAGCAGGAGCAGGAGCAGGAGTCCTCGTCCATCTACAGGCAATTTATTAATTTCTATGCAGCGTGCGTATCGTAATTTGTTTTGTTGTTTGCTTTTTCTTAGCTAGAAAATTACTTAAGTACCAGTTGCTTCGTTTCGATTATTTGAACTTTGCTTGGCAATTTCCTTGAGTGTTTTTTATTGGCATAATTTTGTTGTTGTCCTTGAACTGTTCGATATAAAAAAAAAAAATTGCGCCTTTGACATATTTCAAGTGGCTGAAAATTTTAATTGAGCGCACGTATATTATTTTATATCTACATTTCATTTTTTCTCGGTATTCATATTCATGGATTTTAGCAGGAATTTGAGTAAATGGATAAATATTTCAAAGCATTTAAGTGTAAGCGGCTCAATCGAAGAAGTAATTGAGGCAAACATGCTTTGAAGTGCTGCTTCCTCTTGTTTCAAATATGTTTTACAACTTTTATAGATTCATTTCAGTTTATCAAGTTCATAAAAATTTCTGTGCATTGTTTGTTGGCAAGTTTAATTGTTTTGCACTAGTTTTGATTTATTAAATTGCTAGTTCAATGGATTTTTGATTATTTATTGGATGTTGCATTTAAATTGATTTAAAATTGAAAATTAAATT